TGCCACCACAGTAGCCTTTGCATGGGTGTGCTGGTCTGACAGTGGGGCCTCAGGCATGTGGAGATGTCGAGAGTCGAGACTGTTGGACCCTCAGGACAGGATGCACTCAGGTTATGATTGCGTAGTCAAATGGGACTCAGCTGTGGGCTTGTATCTCAGGGATGGCGATGCACATGAGTTCTGTGGGTGCAGTTACCCACCTGTGTGGACAGCTTGCTGCTTACAGTGGGTTCACGGAACGTGAGGACTGGACGTTTCCCGTAGCTGGGACTCCACACATCCACAGTGGACATGGGGATGGCTGCGTACCATCCGCTCCTCGTCCCCTGTAGACGGGAGTTCCTCTCAGGTCCCAGCTGAAACCAGCCGGGTGCCTCATTCTTCTTTCTGTGCTCCCATAACAAGTCTCCTTGTCTCACATGTCTTTTCTCGTTCCCTGGGTGAACTTCGGAATTCTCTTTTTCAGGCGCTCAAAGCATTGAGTTGTCAGAAAAGTTATGATGTATTTTTTCTGTTTTTCTGTGCAAAAATGCTTCATGACTCTTCCCAAAACCCAATACATAAATTTATTTCTCGTTTTTGTCCTTTCTGGAGGAGAAAAGGGTCTTGATTACCTCTAATCATCCATGTTCACTCCTTATTCAGTGCCCTTATTTTCTTTATGAGAGAGAGGCCCGGAGGGAAAGACCCAGAAATAGGTACCTTGGCAGGGTATTGCCATGTCAGATTCTCCTGCCCAGGTCCTTCGGTTTATGTGGGAAGACAGGCACGTAGCACCATGCCTGCTTCCTTTCCTGCTGGGCGGGGACACAGCTCAGGCTTCCCGTGTGTCCTCGCTGATGCGCATCATCACTGTTCTGCTTGCACCCCTTTGAGCTTTTTTTCCCTAGCTAATTTTATTTATTATTATTATTTTTAAAATTCATTTGCGCATTCATTTATTTTAATTTGACCACAGAGATAGAGAAAGGGAAAGTGAGAAAAGGCAAGCCACCAGGTCCAGGACTCGAACCGTGGTCAGCCATGAGGGCGTGTCTAGTATCCTAAACACCATGCCACCTGCTGGTCCCCTTATTTATTATTTTTTCTTTTACTATAAGGCATGTGTGCTCACCAGAGAGAGAGAGTGATAAAGCAAGCTGCCATGTCTAGGACTCAAACTGCATTCGGCCATGTGTGAGTTCAGAGCCTTACCCTCCATGCTGTCCACAGTTTCTATAAGCTTTAGTGAGAAATCTTACGGTTTTCCTCATTTACATCATATGATTGTCAATACACACAGCTCAAATTCGTCTTTTCCACTTGAAGTGACCTGAAGTTCTTTTCTTTGCCTAATTGCTGTGGTAGGACTTGTTGAACATGGACTCCACCTGCTGGTGAAGGGGTACCAGCTATGGTCACTGTTGTGTTGACAGGCACGGAAGATGAGGCCCATGGGTGAAACACAGATGGGGTGGAGGGTTCTGATTCTTTAAGAACCAGCACCAGGAGGCATGAGCAGGAATCTACAGTTCCTGGATGGGGGCAATATAGTGCATAGATGACCTCCCAGTCCAGAAGGTTGAGTCACCAGGGAAGAGAGGGTCTTGAGTTGCAGGGAGACACACAGGTTGGTTCACCTGATTGAGAGTAGAATCAATAGTGTGCTTGGTCCCCTGCTTCCTGGAGTGCGGTGCCTTGTGGGCTGTGGTGGCACATAGTACTTATGGCACTGGGTTCAGCTGGGGTGCCACCACAGTAGCCTTTGCATGGGTGTGCTGGTCTGACAGTGGGGCCTCAGGCATGTGGAGATGTCGAGAGTCGAGACTGTTGGACCCTCAGGACAGGATGCACTCAGGTTATGATTGCGTAGTCAAATGGGACTCAGCTGTGGGCTTGTATCTCAGGGATGGCGATGCACATGAGTTCTGTGGGTGCAGTTACCCACCTGTGTGGACAGCTTGCTGCTTACAGTGGGTTCACGGAACGTGAGGACTGGACGTTTCCCGTAGCTGGGACTCCACACATCCACAGTGGACATGGGGATGGCTGCGTACCATCCGCTCCTCGTCCCCTGTAGACGGGAGTTCCTCTCAGGTCCCAGCTGAAACCAGCCGGGTGCCTCATTCTTCTTTCTGTGCTCCCATAACAAGTCTCCTTGTCTCACATGTCTTTTCTCGTTCCCTGGGTGAACTTCGGAATTCTCTTTTTCAGGCGCTCAAAGCATTGAGTTGTCAGAAAAGTTATGATGTATTTTTTCTGTTTTTCTGTGCAAAAATGCTTCATGACTCTTCCCAAAACCCAATACATAAATTTATTTCTCGTTTTTGTCCTTTCTGGAGGAGAAAAGGGTCTTGATTACCTCTAATCATCCATGTTCACTCCTTATTCAGTGCCCTTATTTTCTTTATGAGAGAGAGGCCCGGAGGGAAAGACCCAGAAATAGGTACCTTGGCAGGGTATTGCCATGTCAGATTCTCCTGCCCAGGTCCTTCGGTTTATGTGGGAAGACAGGCACGTAGCACCATGCCTGCTTCCTTTCCTGCTGGGCGGGGACACAGCTCAGGCTTCCCGTGTGTCCTCGCTGATGCGCATCATCACTGTTCTGCTTGCACCGCCACGGCTGACCGCTGGTTAATTTTTAATGACACTTTTAAGTCTAGTTTTTGATTATTTTCTGTGTGTATAATGTTATTGAGTTAGAATTATCAATTTTCACAAATACAGTTTTTTTCTATTTTTTTAAGAGGGACTTTGGATATAGGGTGCATGTACTTGCTGTAAAGACAAAGAGAGTCAGAAAAACAGGGAGACATAGTGCCCCGTGAGTACGGCCAAGCTGCAACCCCTTCTCCTCCATTCTCCTCTTGAGATTTTTTGGGCACACACGCACACATGCCTGGTGTGAATTTCAAGCAGCCAGTTCCAGAACTCAAACCGTAGTCGACTATACGGGAGTCCAGTGACATGACCCTTATGCCATTTGCTGGTCCTCATATATAGTTTTTAATTACTTAAGGTTGCCGTGGATAGTTCACTGTTACGGTATGTCGTGCTATGGTTTTGCATTTATTTGTGCCCAGTAAGTCTGCTGCCAATATGTTTAGTATCACAATTTTTCTCTTCATTTATGACATCCATATCTTTTTTGCCAATTGGTGTACACCTCAGTCTTAGAAGGGAAAATACTTTGAGATTCAGAGCTCCATACACTGTTACTATTAAGTCTTGTTCCCTGCAATTCTTTTGACTTACAGTCACTCACCATTTTTCTTTCTTCAAGGATTCTCTTTGTTCTCCATCAAAGTAGAGATCTCAGGCCAGCAGATGGGGACACTGGATCTCACATGGCCGGCCTTAAAATTTTTTTAAATTAATTAATTAATTAATTTATTAATTCACTATACACCATCACAACACACAAATGAATTTTCCATCCAAAATACACTGTGCATTGTCTCAACCAAGTACATCCACATACATGTTCTCAGCAAATAATTTTCCAATTCTTACGTCCTGCATACCTTGCCCTTTGTCTTGCCACCCCTGATTCCCCACCCCCACCCTCAGCTATTTCCCACCTTCCCCCCCTTTTTCCCTGGCATCCACGGCTGCCCTCCATACCTGCCTCCCCCCCATTCAAGTGTTCCCGGCCTTATGCTTTGAGTCCCAGGACCGACCGTTTTAAAAACACACTGGGTGCGTGTGCTCAGTCTCAGAAGAACAGAGGAGAAGGATTGTGGCACGCCTATCACCCCACGAGGTGAATTTTCATTTTCTCTCTCCATCTCTGTCTGAGAGTGCACACACCCTACATCAAAAACTAATAAAATTAAATTGAACATCATAATTGAGAAGTTTCACTGTTCTGTTCACTAGATATTTTGATGTTATGTGTTTCAATATGGGAAATTATTATTTTTTTTTAAGAGGTTTTTTTTGGGGAGGGTGAGGTTATTGCTATAGTGGGTGTGTGCTCGCAGAAAGACAGAAACAAAGAGACAGAAAGCGGAAATCACCCCCAGGGTGGATGGCCACGCTGTAATCTCTTTTTTCTCTATTCTCCTCCTGGGATCTTTGTCATGCACGCACACACACCCAGCATGTGTTAAGCCACCGGGAACAGGACTTGAACTGTAGTCGCCTACGTGGGAGTCCAACGACATAGCCATTACGCCAACTGCTGGTCCTGGGCAATTAATTTTTAAAGAAAAATAACTCTATTTAGCTTTATTTATTTATTTTAATTTGACCACAGAGAGAGAGAGAGTGAGAAAGCAAGCCGCCACATCCGGGAATCAGACTGCAGTTGGCCATGTGGGAGCACAGTGCCTTTAACCACCACACCATCTGCATGCCCCTGGAAATCAATTTATTGTCTCTAACTAATCAGAAACCTGTGACTCTTACATCCTGCAGATACCTTTCATAAATTATCAGCCAAAGGCTTTCGTCCTTCAGGAGAAGTATTGCCAACAGTGATGGTGGAGGGACATGAAAGCCATGGGACCGAAGAGTTTCCCTTCATGCAAGTCCAGAAAAACACACATGCCCCTGCCTGTGAGTGGAGAGAAGAAGAAAACCCACACCAAGCAGATCCTATGACCCGTGAGGAAGAGCAGACTGGGAGAGTTGTTGGTCCCAAAAGAAGGGGTGTAAGAAACAGGCCTGTTCCTAGTGACCTTGACTTCAGCTTGCAGTCACATCCACCAGCGGTGCAGGAACTTAAAGGTAGTAGGGGACCGTATGAACAGAAGGGAGTTGAGAACTCTGATAAGCAAAGTCCTGTAGTTTCACCACTCCAGACAATTGTTCCCAGTGTCAAAGCCGTCACCGATCGTGAAGATGGGCGTAATTTTATAGACTGTTCATTACTCACCCAAGATCAGAGAGCAGGCAGGAGGAAGAAATCTGTCCAGGGTAATAGGTCTGGCAAAGCTTTTAGTGAACACCCACACCGTGCCCTAAGTCAGAAAATTCGTACAAGAGAGGAACTGTATAAATGTGAGGTTTGTGGAAAGGTCTTTACACAAGAATCTAACCTTGTGTTTCATTGTAGAATTCACACTGGAGAGAAACCTTATAAATGCAGTGAATGTGATAAAGCTTTTAGACTAAGATCAGTACTTAGTGAACATGTGAAAATTCATACTGGGGAAAAGCCCTACGAATGTAATGAGTGTGGCAAAGTCTTCCGTCAGTCTTCAACCCTTGTCGGTCATCAGAGAATTCACCAGGTCAATACTTTCACAGCATCGCAGATTTCATAGTGGAGAGAGACCTCACAAGTGTACTGAATGTGGCAGAGCCTTTTCTGTCCGTGGAAGCCTTATTAACCATCAGAGAATCCACACTGGAGAGAAACCTTTCAAATGTGACGAATGTGGGAAAGTCTTTCGTCGGGCTTCAAACCTTGCTGTTCATCAGAATATTCATACAGGAAAGAAACCATACAAATGTAACGAATGTGGCAAAATATTTTGTCATAGTTCACACCTCGAGGCACATGAGCGTGTTCATACTGGAGAAAAACCTTACAAGTGCCGTGAGTGTGGGAAAGCCTTTAGGGTGTCCTACAGCCTGACTAACCATCTAGCGATTCACACGGGAGAGAAACCTCACCGATGTAACGAGTGTGGCAAGTTCTTCAGGCACCCTGTAGACCTTGCTCGCCATGGCAGAATTCACACTGGAGAGAAACCGTTCAAGTGTAAGGAATGTGGGAAAGGCTTTTGTCATTCTTCTGGCCTTGCAACTCACCGGAGAGTTCACACTGGAGAGAAGCCTTACAAATGTGATGAATGTGGCAAGTCATTTGGGAGCAGCACTGCACTTAAACTACATCGAAAAATTCATACTGGAGAGAAGCCTTTTGAGTGTAGTGAGTGTGGTAAAGCATTTATTTCGCGTTCAGCTCTTATTAAGCATCAGAGAATGCATACTGGAGAGAGGCCTTACAGCTGTAGCAGATGTGGTAAAGCCTTTACTCAAAACTCTGCCCTAACTGTTCATTGGAAGATTCACACTGGGGAGAGACCTTACGGGTGTTCTGAGTGCAGCAAAGCCTTCCGTTCCCGTTCACATCTTGAACGACATGAGAGAACTCATGCTAGAGCGAAACCTTGCAAAGGTAACTAATATGACCACATCTGCAGTGATCACACCTCGCAAGAGGTTGGGGAATTCATTCTGGAGAGAAAAATGTATAATGTGTGGTAGACTTTAGTTTTCATTCTAGGCCTATTACCGTAAGTGAATCCATAGTGGAGAGAAATGTTGCCAGTGTAGTGGACGTGGCAAGGCCGCAGGCAGAAGTCTGACAGTCTTCACTGGAGGATTCATGCTAGTGTGAGCCCTCACGTGTGTGTGGGTGTGCCAGATTGGTTACTGTGCTTTCAGTCTTCACAAGGCATCAGGTAATTTGTACCAGTGAGAAACCTTCCAGAGCTAATAAGTGTGGCAAATTTTTTTGTATGCTTTCACAGCTCTCCAGACGTTGGATAATCTATACTGGAGAGAGACCACATAAATGTAATGAATATGAAAAATGTTTCTGTCAAAATCACTCCGTTTTTTTTAGTAATTTTTTAAAAGAATTATTGAAGAAAAAACACAAAAATAATTAAAATCTTTAAAACAATGACTGTATAATTCAGAATATATCATATAGCTTGCAAGTTAACAAAATTTAATATATTTTCTTGGAACAGCAGTTAGCATAATGGCTATGTTGCTGGACTACCATGTAGTCGACCGCGGTTCGAGTCCTGGACCCAGTGGCTTAAACTCACACCGGGCATGTGTACATGTGTGCCCAAGATTCCAAGAGGAGAATGGAGGAGAAGGGATTGCAGCATGGCCATCCCCCATGGGGGTTGATTTCTTGCTTTCTATCTCTCTGTCTCTCTCTGTCTTTCTGGTGAGCTCATGTGCCCGTAACCAATACCTCTAAAAAAGAAAAAAAAAAAACTTTAATAGATGTTCCTTTTAAAAATTATTTAATTAAAGGGACCAGCAATTGGCATAATGGCTATGTCGATGAACTCCCATGTCATCGATCACAGTTTTAGTCCCGGACCCGGAGGCTTTAACTCCTGCCAGGCACATGTGTGTGTATGCCCAAGATCTGGAGAAGAGAATGGAGGAGAACGGTTTGTGGCATGGCCATCCCCCCTGGGGGGTGATTTCTTGCTTTCTGTCTCTGTCTCTCTCTGTGTGTTTCTGGCAAGCCCACACACCCTATAGCAAAAAGCTCTCCCCCCCAAAAAAAAACATTTAATTTTATTCATTATTATATTTAAAATTTGATCAGAGAGAAAGAAGGCAAGGGAGAAAACAAACTGCCAAGTCCAGGACTCAAACCATACCCGGCCATGTGGAAGTCCAGCACTTCTACCACCTGTCAGCCCCAATATTTAATATCTTGTCTTAACGATGAATGAATCTGTTCTTTTTCCAACTTAATTTTATTCCTCAGTATATTAGTTTATATCTACCACTGAACATTGACCATTAGGCCCCTAAGTTTGAAAGATCTGTAACAGTTTTTTTCAAGGTGGAATAAAAAACAGCGTTTTGTACATGTACTCTCATCTTGCAGTTGAGTTATGAATTATTTTCTCCCTGCTTTGTGCTCATGGATTATGATAGAGAATTTTATAGTAGAGCAGTCTCAAATTCTGATACGCTAAACCTGCATCACTGTAGATGAACATGAACCATGTCACATATTTACATACCTTTCCATGTGTGCCAAATAAGAGCCATAAAGTGAAAATATGATTAAGAATGTAAAAGGAAAGTTAATGTGGGGCTGGCTCCATGACCTAGTGGATAAGAGAACTACATCCCAGATGGCTGACTGCACAATTCAAGTATCCGTCCTGGTATTCTGAGGTATTTGCTGAGTGTTGTGGATGTGTGCCCAGTGTTCTGATGGGATGCAGATTCAGATCAGGGTTTGTGGTGTGATCATGCCCCAGTGGGATACACTTTCTCTCTTTCTAAATCTGTCTCTTTTTTGTCCAAAAGTATGCACCCTCTGGGGGTAGATTTTTTTTTCTAGATTATGATAATATTCTGGGGATGAATATATAAAAACTCATGGTGAGGCCAGCGGCTGGCATGAAGTTAAGGTGGCGGGATAACCCTATGCACAATTTAAGTCCCAAATCCACCAGCTTCAAAAGCTGAGTACATGTGTGCTTGTCCCCAAAATACCAAGAGGAGGAATGAGAAGGGAAAGCCCAGTGGTCCTAACCCAGGGGGATGATTTTTCTTTTTCTCTCTCTTTTTGTCTTTCTCTCTTTATTCTCTTTGTGAGCACCTGTGTCCTACAGTTAACTAAAAGAAGAAAAACGGGCTAGCAGGTGGCACAGAGACCAGGCACTGGACTCCCACAGAGCCGACTGCAGTTCAAGTCCTGGACCTGGTGGATTGCTTTCTCCCTCTCCCTTTTTCTCCCTCTCTCTCATCAAATTCAAGAATAAGAATAAATAATTTTTTAGAGGTTTTCCCTATAGGGCATGTGCACTCGCCAGAAAGGCAGAGACAGAGAGACAGAAAGTGAGAAATCACCCCCCAGGGAGGATGGCCATGCCACAATCCCTTCTCTTACATTCTCCTCTCAGAATCTTGGCCCTCATGCACGTGTGCCTGCTGTAAGCCACTGGGTTCGGGACTCAAACCGTGGTTGACTGCATGGGAGTCCAGCAACAGCTATTACACCAACTGCTGGTCCCAAGAATAAATAATTCTTAAAGAAAAAAAAGTGAACCTCATTGTGCAGGTCAGCTGGTGGCATGTTGGTTATGGGGGCTAGATCCCATATCCCATATGTGATTTGATTCCAGGATGTCATGGCTTGACAAACACTGCTCATACACATGTGCATGCTCAAATCCCAAGAGGAGAGTGGAAGAAGAGAGATTACAGCATGGCCATTCCCATAACCTGTGTGAGGTGCTTTGTCATTCTTTTTTGCCAGGAAACATACATGCCTTATATAGAAAAAAAACCCCAAAACTGCATGTTTTATTGTTTTGCTTTATTAGTGATAGAATGCCTCCATTTAAGCGAGAGAGAGGTAACCTGCATAGGGTCTGGTCACATTGAAACACCCTTTCTTCCATCCTCAGCCCATTTGACACTGGGCATTTTTTTTTTTAACTTTTGATATTGCTTTATTAACTTTATGTTATAAAATAAACATCTTTCTGGGACCAGCAGTTGGCATGATGGCTATGTCGCTGGAATCCGATGTAGTCAGCCATGGTTCGAGTCCTGGACCCGGTGGCTTAAACTTACGCCAGATGTGTTTACATGTATGCCCAAGATCCCGAGAGGAGAATGGAGGAGAAGGGATTGCAGTATGGACACCCCCTGGGTGGGGTGATTTCTCATTTTCTGTCTCTGTCTTTCTGGTGAGCACACGCGCCCTATAGCAAAAACTTCTCCAAAAACAAAACAAAAAAATCTTTCTATGCAAGTTGTTAGGATTCTCCTGCTGACATAAAGACATATAGAGTAGGTCAAGATGAAATCTCCTATCAGAAAATGACAGAACTCCAAAAGATTTACACTAAGTTTGCACCAAAAATACAAATTTAGAAAGCAAGTGTTTATGATTATTAACATCAAGATTCAAGGCATAAGGCAAAACTCATCATGATGATCATGCTGAGAAGGATCCCCTATAAGAATGCACAAATTACTTAAACTGAAGCTCCCTAATTTTTCTCCTTCACTCTTTCATTTCCTCCATGAACCGTTCCATATCATCTGCATTTCCAACAATATCAATGTTATTGACAAGCCTGTTGGGCACATCCCCTCCAAAATCTTGGACAGGTAGAGCCAAACCCTCTCTAATATTTCCTCTAGGCTCCTGGCCTTCTCTTAAGTGCAAGCTTCATCTTCATTTTGCACTGAAGCCTGCTCCCCAACTTTGTTTTCCTGGGAGATATTTTCCATGTTGAATTCTTTTTCCTATTTCTTCTTCCTGTAGAGATCAGATGCAACCTTTCTTTCTTTGCCTTGAAATTTGCTGTGCCAATGGATCTAAAGCCCTTTCACACATTGGGGTCAGTTTCTACTGCTTTCCTCTTTCTTTGGGCAACAGGCTCATTTACCATCAGAGCAATATTGAGCCAGCACACCACTGCCAAGAACCAGCAGACTGAAATTAGAACAGATGCTGGGCATTTTTGTTACATTCCTGTTATGTTTCAGGTAACCAAACTCAGTTTGAACTGCCATTTACAAGTAGCATCCACTGCTCAGATAGATACCAAACTTGAACTGTGAAATACCACTTTTAGGAACTAAGAATGAAGATTTTCTCCTGAGGTGTCTCCCTCCAGATTCATTTCTAGTGGGAAAGGTACAAACCCAGGCCCATCCTCAGATGGATACCAAACTTGAGCTGTGAAATATTGCTTTCAGGGACTAAAAAGAAAGATTTTCTGCTGAGACTTCTCACTCCAGATTCATTTCTAGTGGCCTTCAGGCACTGTCTAGACAGGTCCAAGTGAACAGGATCCAAACATCTGAATACGATTAGGGTCATAATATTCCTCTATTCCCACTAAATCTGATGCACACACAATCAGCCATGGAGGATTTGACTGCCTTAACCACCAGGTTATGGAGCCGGACCCAAATTATTTTTCATGTTTTTCATACATTACATTAAAATATAGCTGGCAAGCTAGTCCTTACCTGAGTGGTTAGGGGAGTCAGATCCCACATGACTGTGGTTCAAGTCCCAGACCCAGCGGCTTAAAACTCACGCTGGGCATGTGTGCATGTGTGCCCAAGATCCCAAGAGGAGAATGGAGAAGAAGGGAATGCGGCATGGCCATACCCCTGGGGGGTGACTTCTTGTTTTCTATCTGTCTCTCTGTGTCTGGTGAATGCATGTGCCCTATAGCAAAAACCTCTCAAAAAAAAAAAAGAATTGGGAGGAAACACACCGTCCATCAGATGACTAGAAAGTACCACAGGGTCACAAGAAATATGGGAAAGCAAAAAAATATCTTCCAATGGAAAAGAATAACTTCTTTATCTTTAGTACAGTGAAACTCATCAGGTCACAAGAAATATGGGAAAGCAAAAAAAATCTTCCAATGGAAAAGAATAACTATCTTTAGTACAGTGAAACTCATCGAAATGTATGATAAAGAATTTATAATATTCATAGTGACAAGCTAACAGAGATGGAAGAGAAGAGAGACAATGAACTGTAGAAGAGGCAGGAGAAAGGAGCTGATGAGTTCCAGGAGGTGAGAAAATTCTTACAAGATCTAAAAGACGAAATACACACCATAACAAAGAATTAAATGGACCTGTTAGAGATGAAGGCTATAACACAAGAAGTCAAAACCTCCCTTGAAAGTATTAAAAGCAGACTAGATCATACAGAAAATCAAATCTCAGATGTAGAAGACTGAATCACTGGCCTAGAAAAATCCACCATGAAGACTGAGAAAATTGCCCCGAAGAATTAGAATAATATACAAGAAATACTAGATACCATCAAACATCTGGATAATCAGTATCCCATAAGGCGAAGAGACTCATAAGGGCATTGATAATCTATTCCATGAAATCCTGGAAGAAAACTTTCCAAACCTAAAGAGGTATTTAAAGATCCAGTCCCAAGAAATATGAAGGATCACATGTAGAATCAACCTAAGAAGATGTTCTCCAAGACATATTATACCCAGATTGATCAAAACCATAGACAAAGACAAGATACTAAGATTGGCAAGAGAGAAACGTCAAG